CCTCTCGCCGCCCCTCCCCTCTCGCCGCCCCTCCCTCCCCTCCAGGGGTGTGCGGCGACTGGAAGAACCACTTTACGGTGGCACAGAGCGAAGCCTTCGACCGCGTCTACCGGGAGCAGATGCGGGGGCTGCCCACCTTCCCCTGGGACGACCCCGAGGACGCCAGCCCGGACCCCGATCCCAGCCCCACCCCAGCCCAGGCCTCCGAGCACCCCCCGGACCTGTGACCTTGAGAATAAACGCATCGCTCCTGCCCCGACTCTCGATGCGCTCTGGAGGCGGCGCGCCGGTGGGCGGCCGGCAGGGGGCGCGCGAGGGGAGGAGGCCGCCGGGGTGGGGGGACCCCCACGCTGGGCGCCTGGCTCCCCCAGGGAGTCTGAGGGAGGAGGGGCCCAGGACTGGATTCCTGGGTCTGCGGCTAGGCTGTGAAAATGCAAGATTCTGGCATAAAGCAGCTTTCTTGTGAGCAGAGGGAAAGGGAGCCCCAACTCGCCCCTTGGCACCCAGAAAACAGTCCCAGCGCCCAGGGCCCTGACCGGTCCCCCAGCAGGGGTCCCCACCAATTTCCTGTCCCTCATTATTAAGCCCCACTCCCTGGACTGGATTCTCTCCTCTCCTCTGCTAAGCTCAGTTTACCCACAGCTCCGGAGCCTGATAGATCCACGAGGCTCCCCACCCTGTCCCAGGGACGCCCCACCTTCGCCCCCACGCGACGCCGGCTCGGGGGCCACTCGGCCAGGCCCGTCCTCAGACAAGTTCCGGCCTGGCCGCAATTGGATATGCCCTGTCCCGGGATGCCAGCGGGTCGACACTTTCTGCCCATTTTCTGAACTGCGACACTGGCATCTAGACTGAGCACTGGGCTTGCCCGAGTTCTAGAACAAAGGGGGAAACATCCCTGCCGCTTCCCGGACACCGAGGCCAGAAGCCTTGTCCAAGGCACCACACGGACGGGGGACGGGGGGCTGGGAGGTGACCGTCGACAGGCCCGTCCAGGGTGGCTTTGGCTCCCGTCAGGGTCGCCCCCTGAGTCCTGCCTGGGCAGCCCAGTCTGGCTGCTGGGTGCCTCGGGGCTCCTGCAGTTTGGAGGTGGCATCCTCACCAAACCTCCTTCTGGTCGGGGACAGATGGCGGAGGCGGCGGGCAGGGAGGACGGGGAGGGGGCCGCCTGGGGGCTGGGACCGGCCCAGAGGACGGGGTTCTGTCTCACCCCAGGGGGCCCCTCCCATGCCCCGCTGCCTCATCAGGGCCTTCGCGGGGGTGTCCTTGGAACCCCAGGATTTCTTGAGCTGTGGAGGGAAAGACAGGGAGGTGAGAGAAGGTGCTGGGGGCCGAGTCCAGGCAAGGGGAGGAGTGTGTGTGCAGGGAGGCCTCGGGGGGGGCCCCCCCCCCGGGAGCCGTGATCCCCCCCTGCAACTTTAGACTTGAGGAGAAACAGGAAGCTGCCAGCAGCTGCCTGGGGGGAGTAAATATTTGCCGAGGGAGGTGATGCTGGGTGAGGGTGGCTCAGGACCGGGTGGAGGCGAGGACCTTGCCCCTGCTGTGCCCATCCCCACCTCTCCCCTGGACCGGAAACGAGGGAGGGAGGGGATTCCTGGGACATTTCTCCCTCCCCCTCCAAAAAGGTCCCCACTGGTTCCCACTTCGCGGATGGGAAAACTGAGCCTGACGGGGGCGCACAGCTCGCGGAGAAACTGTGCCCCAGTTCTGCCGGCATCCACGGCCCCCTCCCCATCCCGGCTCCGCTCTCACCCTCTCGACAGCCCACTTTACAGCTGGGGGCACTGAGGCTCCCCACCCAGGATCCCAGAGAGTTAGTGTAGGCTGTGTTGGAACCCCGGTGTCTAAGCAGCTGGGGAGGGGGGCGCCAAGACCCCCTCAGAGCTCCCCAAATCCCCTCCCCAGCACCCCCATGACGCTTGAATCTGGGAAGCCAGGGGCAGAGCATTTAAAAGCTTCACCCGGGAGGCAACCAGGGCCGAGTTCCAATCTCTCCCTGGTGCCTCGGTTTCCTCACCTGCGAAATGGGCGGGTGCAGAGTTGTAATAACATTCCCCCACACCCCCCC